GACGGATAATTTGTACTTAATCTGCTGGGAGAACTTTAATCTTCTCACTGGTTGCATTTGACAACACCATTGTTTAAAGAACAATGCTGCAGTGAACTCATAAATTTTAAAACTTAACTCACAGTGCAGCCTATTAAAGTAATACATTAATTCCTTTGCTAGGAAGTTTTTGTCTCCATGTAGAACAAAACCATTACTTGAAACAACAGGCCTTTTTTGGACCTATATTTTAATTATACCATCCATTACCCAAAATGTTATGTTGTTCAGGTTTGAATATTGAGAGTTTCATAGAACAGCATCATCAGGAGAGAAATGCTGTTTTCATAGTTTTAAAAGCAACAACAGCATTAAAAAGAAACGTGTGTGTGTGTGTGTGTGTGTGTGTGTGTGTGTGTGTGTGTGTGTGTGTGTTAGTGTATATAGGGTAGGCAGATCTGAAACTAAGATTTAGAGGGAATTTTTAATGTCCTCTAAAGCAGAAGGCCACCAAGGTCTCTCCATCTTGGTGTAGCTGCAGCATTCACTTGCAGCCAGCATGGACTGCCTTACCAGGACAGGCATTCACGACAGTCCATGCTTGGATGGGAGTAGTGTAATTAACATTTGGGTGTTTAGACTGATTGAGATACTCAACGCCAGCTGAGCAGACGTCTGCCTCCAATACTAGGAATCAGAATCTTGTGGAAACGCCTGATTGATGAGGAAAGTAGACTGGCTCTACATGAATAGTGGTGCGTGCGTGCATGCATGGATGCATGTCAGTATTCATGCTTGTATGTGTGGTGACCAGAGGACAAGTCTGGGTGTTCTTCAGGTACTCCCACCATGTTTTTTGAGACAGGGTCTCTCACTCACCTGGAACTCCCAGGTAAGCTAGCCTGACTGGCTCTTGTACCCCAGGGGTCCCCATGTCTTCACCTCCCCAGCACTGGATTATAGGAGCATGTGTATTACCATGCCCAACTTCTCACAGATCTGCCTGCCTCTGCGTCCTGCTTCTGTCTCCTGAGTGCTAGGATTAAAGGTGTGTCCCACCACCATGCCTGGCCAACTTTAAAAAAGAAAATGTAGGTTCTAGAAATTGAACTTTGGTCTGCATGCTTGTGAGCTATTCCTCCAATCCTGTTAGGATTTTGAGGCAACTCACTGTGTAGACCAGGCTGGCCTTAAACTCATAATCCCACCTCAACCTCCTGAGTGCTGGGATTATGTGTGTGCCAACATACCCTACTCAGTAACATTTTAGTGACCAACGCATGTTAAAGTTAGTGATTTAGTCATCACCTGAGAGATTTTGTTTTCATTTACTCGTTTGTTTTGCTGTAATCAGTGATCTCTCACTGTCATTGCTTTGCCTTGCTAGAATCTTCAAGGAACTCCCATAGTCTTGGGGATGAGCTGGTCCCTCTGCACTGAAGGTGGCTTCTTCTGTTTGTCTGTTAGAATCGCCTGTCTGTCCATGTATTGTGGCTTGGCAGAATCTTGGTGCACCAGCAACTTGCAGCCCAGTGGTTCTGATCAGAGGCTCCACATCTGCTTCCCAGTGTGGATGGCATCTGTTGCCACCCCGAGAACGATGCCTGCAGGATGTTTTTCTTAAAAATCAATTTCCTCTTTGCCTGCCTGGCTCACTGCAGTCCAAAAAGCCTCTGCTTTATAAAAGACCACTGTGTTGTTTTCTCTTAGAAATCACAAGAAATCTCTTTATCACAGGAACTGCTCGTCATAAATAACTTAATGTCACTCTCTTTGCAATGGCTCTCTTAGCATCTGGTGTCATAGCTAGCACCTCCTTTCTAACAGTTTCCAGTTTGGAACCCATTGGTTTCTGTCATATTAAGATGACAAAGTCAAGAAATCACCCGTGAGTGAGCTATGAGAAGCGCTAGAGGAAGACTCTGTGGTGCCAGACTCACCCGTGACTGAGCTCAAGAGAGTCTGAATGAGTGCAGGAGGAAGCGCAACCCTGAAATCTCTAAATAACATTCTCAAGGTCCCTCTTGCTATCTGAGGATTTCATGAGGAGTTCACCTAAAGGAGCACCTGTCTACGTGCACATTCCAACTCTGAGACCCAGCCAGGTGGGATGTACTTAGCTAGAATACTGAAATATCAGAGACACTTTATTTTATTACCTGGTGGACAGTGTTAGTAGTGGTTTGAATACATCAGTTTTGAACTGATTCAGACACTGTTTATTACAACTTAGACATTTTAAATATATGGTTATTGCATTGTAGCTTAATTCAAGTAAAAAACTCGGGCTTTATCGCTCTTCCACAGCACTTGGTGTAGCTATTATACAGTGCTTACCACCGTCCAAGTTTAGAAATTTCTCATTGCCCCCTCCCCTAGCAACCCTATATGCACTGGCAGTCACACCTCACTCAGTACCTTCCCCACTCATAGTCCCAAGAAACCTTGGCCCTGCTTTCTGTCCCAGTGGATTTGCCTTATGGGCATTGTATGAATGACAAATAATGATGATAATACTAATAATAATACTAATAATAATAATAATAATAATAATAATAATTCTGGCCTCTGTGTTTGGGCTTCATGTAGTGGAATATTTTCAAGGTTAATCAACAGTGTAGTATACAGTGAGCACTTCATTCTTTTTTCTGATAAATACTATTCTATTGTATTATATACTTCATTTTATTTATCCACCTATGAATGAATGGGCATTGGGGTTGTTTCTTCCTTTATACTTATTGGAGATAATTCTGCTATGAATATGCAGACATTTAGCCAAGGCAAAGTAGACATGAAAAAGAAGTGGCGTCCATATTGTAGAAGAGAGTAAGCTGTGTGTGTGTGTGATGCAGTCTTAAATATAGGAAATCATCCTGGATCTTTAACCTAGTAGCCAAAGTATGTAGAGCAAAATCATTCATAGAAATGAATTGTATTTTTATATACTAGCAATAAACTACCCCAAGGTTGAATCAGAAGGCAATTTCATTTAGAATAGCATCAAAATTAAAATACTTCTTAGTATATGCCAACCAAATTCATCAAGTTAAAGATTCCAAATACCTATTTTTCAGCACTTGGATAGTTGGTCTTAAATCCATATGGATATATTTGGAGGGACCAGAAAACTAAAATAGTCTTCAAGAAAGAAGTTAGAAGGACTTGCATTTCCTCGTTTCAGAAGTGACTACAAAACTACTGTTAGTAGGACTGTGTGGCAGACCAGAAGGCAGACACAAAGTACAAAGGATTAAGCTATGAGTGGGATCAAACACCTTTCAGTGAGGCTATCCAGACAGCATTCCAGGAAAGAAACAGATGTCCCCACACTGGTACTGCTACAGTGGATACGTATTTGCAAAAATGAAGGCAAACTCTTTCTCAAAGGAGATTCTAGACTTAAATACAGCACTAAAATTGTAGTCTCTGGTTGTTCAGTCTTAAGAATTTGCTCTGACTTCTTCATGTCGTCCTCTCTGGCTCCAAATAGACAACTGAATGAAAGTGTTTTAATAATCCGAACCCTGAGATGGGTGTGGTGACACATACCTACTCAGGAGGCACAGGCAGGAAGATTACAAGTGAGAATAGCTGGGCTACATAATGGAAGGAAAGAACTCTAAATACAGAGCTTTAGAATGTCTTTGTAAGCATTCTCCTAGAAGGAGGAGATAATAGTTCTAACTTGGGCTACAGTTACCTTTTACATCATTTCAACTAAATATATTGTGCAACAATGCATTTAATATTTTAGTGTTATCTGTGTTCTCTTTATTCACAGTCTTTGTGCATGTGTGGAATTACTCTTGAGATTTCTCCAAAGATTTGCTAAGGAGCAAAATACAGTAGATAGCATTGTTGAACTTGGGAAACTTAGACTGGAAATATTATATCACAAACTTAAAAGGATGACTAAAATGATGTATTAAAATAGGAGCCACATTCGAACCCTAAATTTACTATCTAGAAATAGTCTGAATGGAATGATTGTGATGATATGTCTTTGTGTAATGATATGATTGTGGACCTGTTGCATTTGAAATGCTAGGTTTTTCTTTGCCCATAATCTGGGGGAAAAAAATACACCATCAAGTGAATTCAAATACACACAGTCTCATATATGCCTTTTCCTATGCATCTGTAATTCCTAGGTTTTTCTTTTGTTTTATCAGTTTTGTTTTGTTTGTTTTCAGTTTTATTATTTGTTTGTTTTTTGAGATAGGGTCTTACATACATCCCTGGCTGACTTGGAACTTTGTAGACCAGGCTGGCCTGGAACTCAGAGATCTATGTGTCTCTACAGCTTGGGTGCTGAGTTTAAAGATTTGGCCACATTATATCTTGCTAGTTTCCAGTTTTAATTAAACTGTTTTCTTCATTTTTTTTTTATCAGAAGCTATTTTCATTACAGATTAAGAGCTGGGCTTGGGAATGACACTGAGATAATACAAAGAATCCAATCTGGAAGTTAGGGAGTATACAGTACTTCCTAACATGCCCAAAGCCAGAGGTTTGATCCCGAGCACTGTGTAATGCCAGAATCTCAAAGGCTGAGGCAAAGTCAAGAGTTGGAGACCAGGCCTGGTTTGTGTGGTCTTTTTAAGGATACTCAGCCCTGTTAATTTGGGGCTAGGTAGTTTTGTTCTCCAGCTCAGTACTGTGACTGAGTCATTGGTAACTTAACTTCCTAGTTTATGCCTTCCTTAAAACAGCAGAAGTTGCTGTTACGACGGTTAACAGATCTGAGTCAAAAGCAGAGACTGTTTTTTTGTTTTTGTTTTTTTTTTTTTCCTTGAGTCCCTTGCATTGTTGAAGGTTTTTAATGTGACATGCTTGGGAAAAAACTTCTAAGGTTCCCTGTCAGAATGAGTATTCTGCAGGCACTTTGCATCTCTAACAGGTGTCCCAGGGCACAGTCAAAGATGTGACCAGCATCCCTCTGGGCCAGAGCTCCTCATGGAGCAGTAGGACCTACCCTAGACTGCCTGTGTTCACTGCTGCTGATCTCCCTATCACAGGAACACTCACTCAGAATGAGATGGTATTTAAGCGGCTCCATCTGGGCACTGTCTCCTACGGAACAGACACTATGGACGAAATCCAAAGCCACGTCCTCAATTCCTACTTGCAGGTATGTGAATGCCATTTTCTCTCAGTGCATCCACAGTGGTCAACTAAATTGAGCCTATTATCTGCTAATTTGATTTTTTTTAATCTTTATTGTCACCTAGCTATCAATTCTAGTATCTCATTCAAGAAATTATGACTATTTCTATGTTAGCAGAATCATAGGAAATATAAATTTAATGAGCTAGAATGCTAGAATCATTTATTTATGTTATTTTCTTAGTGGATTTTTCTTTCTTTTCTTTCTTTTTTCTTTTTTCTTTTTTTTTTATTTTTGAGGGGGCTGGTTTTTCAAGTCAGAGTTTCTCTGTGTAACAGCTTGACTGTCCTGGAACTCATTGTGTAGACTGGGCTAGCTTTGAACTCACAGAAATGCAGCTGCCTCTGCCTCCCAAGTGTTGGAATTAAAGGTGTGTGCCACCACTACCTAGCTTGTGAATTATTTCTAAAACCGAAACTCTTTAGTAAACAGTATTTTAAATGGTAATTAATACAATACTGGTATTACTATTCTTTATAATAATCCCTTTGTTTTTCTTAATAATTAATAAAACTTTCTCAGGTTTTAAGAAAATAAATTCTGTTTTTCATCTTTTCCAATAACTAAGGTGGATAACTCAGCATCATGCAGCATCATTTGCCTTTCACTGAACTATAACAATAGTACAAGGATTTGCTGTGTCAGCAGGCATTCTCTTTCAACAGTGCATTATGAAATGAATTTCAAAAATCCTCTTTTTTTGTCTAAGTAATTATGGTATGACTTTAAAAAAAAATATTACTACTTCCCCAGAGCTGAGGTACAACACTGGGAGTTGATCTGGTTTCATGTGAGTTTAGAAGCCATGTCATTTACTTGCAGACAAGTATGCCATACAGTCCTCCCTTGCCCAGACCCTTCTAATTACCCATGCTCCTGACTCTCTTATCAGGACTTTTGGGTGTAGAGAATGTTCAACTCAAAGAAGGCTTGTGCCCCTGGCTTCAAGGAGTGTTTGTGTTTTGATGATTTTTTTACTTTTCATGTTTAGTAAAGTGGTGTGCTGGCTACTCTTATGTCAACTTGACACACAAACTAGAGTTATCTGAAAGGAGGGAACCTCGATTGAGAAAATGCATCCATAAGATCCACCTGTAAAGCTTTTCTTTAATTAGTGATTGATGGGGAAAGGCCCAGCCTATTGTGGGTGGGGCCATCCCTGTATTGGTGGTCCTGGGTTCTATAAGAAAGCAGGCTGAGCAAGCCATGGGAAGCAAGCCAGTAAGAGCACCCTCCATGGTCTCTTCTCCTGCCTCCAGAATCCTGCCCTGTTTGAGTTCCTGCCTGATTCCCGTTGATGATGAACAGTGCTGTGGAAGTGCAAGATGAATAAACCCTTTCTCCCCAGTTTGCTTTTGGTCATGGCATTTTGTCACAGCAATAGAAACCCTAACTAAGACAGGTGGTTATAAGTTCTCCAAGATCCATGACTTCTCTGGCTATAAGTTTTCAGTACCAGGCATGATTTCCCTCTTTTGAGGTCTTAAGTCCAAATAAGAGATCTGTTGATTACATCCAGGTTTGCATGCCCCTAACTGCACCCTTAGAGTTACCTTGCTGTGCTGTTGATTGTCATGGTTCATTGGCATCAACGCTGGATAAGACTGTTGGTTGCTTCCCTCCATTGGAGCCTTCTCATACCATGAAAGATAGCCCTCCAAGAGGGAGCTTTCAAGTCAGTTCCAACTCGGGCAGAATTCTAGGTTTTCAACAATAGGGACTTACTATCTACACCAGGGCCAGCCAAGTGTAATAGCAATAACTGGTGATGTTTGGAAGTCTCTTGGACAGCCCTGATCAACAACTCAAAAGAGGACTTACCATGCTGGGTTTTGGGTTTTTGTTGGATGTCCTTTGGCTCTTGGAGGGGGCATTGTCAGCCAAGATAAAATTTTCATTTAAACAATATGTATTTGTATACCCTAACTTATGTGATTATAGGTATTTTTAAGTAGATATTTGCTAGTGTGATACCTTATGACTGGTTTAGGTATGAGAATGAAACTGGCTTTGTAGGAGGAGTTGGAAAGTGCTCCTTCTGCTTTTTTCTATCTTTCTTTCTTTTATTAGTTTAAAAGGGCTGGCTATAGATCTGTGAGAGTCTGGTTGGATTCTGTGGTGAATCCATCTGGTCCTGGCCTTTTTTTTTTTTTTTTTTAGTTGGAAGGCTACTTATAACTCTTTCAATCTCCTCATTTGTTATGATTCTGTTTAGGTTGTTAATGTCTTCTTGGCTTAATTTTGGTGGTTTGGCTTAATCTAGAAATTATTCATTTCTTAGATTTTCCAACACAGGTTTTTAAAGTATTCCCTTATAATTTTTTGAATTTCACTGATGTCCACTGTAGTGTTTCTCTGTTCATTATTCCTGATTCTGCTAGTGTGGATCCCCCTGTTTCTCCCTTTGGTTGGTTAGGCCAAAGGTCTGTCAGTCTCCTTATTGTGACAAGGAAACAGCTTTTAGATTTGTTGAGCCTGTGTTGTTTTGTTTGTTCCTATTTCATTAATTTCTGCACTGAGTTTTGCTACTTCTTCCTTCCCCTGAGTTTGGATTGGTTTCTTCTTGTTTTTCCAAATTTTTGAGTTGTATCATCAAGTCCTGTATTTGTACTCATTCTGTAGGCACTTAGAGCAATAAATTTCCCTCATAGGACTGCTTTCAATGTGTCCTAGGAGGTTTGTTGCTTATGTTTTCTTTTTCATTTATTTCCAGTATATTTTTTGAAATTTATTTCTTGACTTTTTTTTGCAGAATTAATAATTCTGTAATAAGCTTTCTCTTTTTTGTTAAATTTACTAGAGGTGTGTTTTCTGTCAGTTGAAAGTTTTTGCACTGTGGTCAAAGAGGATATGTGGTATTATTCCTACTTTGGAATTTGTAAAGATTTATTTTATGTCCCAAGATACGGTCTATTTTAGAGAAGCCTATATGCTGCTGATAGATTGTGTATGGAATGTTCCATAGGTGTCGGTTAAGTCTATTTGATGTAGTATGTTGTTTAATTCTGATTTACATATGCATATACATACATATATACATATATTATTACGACAGTTATTTTCTATTCCAGTATATTTTATTTTAATATTTCGTTAATGTTTTTTATTTTAAATTTTTAAAAATACATCTAAATTAAAATTTAATTATTTTTCCCTTCCAAGATTCCCACACACACACACTCTTAACTTTTCTTTGATTATTATTTTTACATATACACAGGGCTGTGAATGTGTGTGTGTGTGTATGAGTATGTGTGCGCATAAATGTAAACACAAATGTATAAGTGGGCCCATTTTTGTTGTCTATGTGTATATAGGTTGAAGCCTAACCTTTGTATTGGGTAAACACAAGTAGTTCTTTGTCTAGGTGTAGAACCCTGGTGAGATGTTTTTCCCCTCCTTCTTAGCATGTCTATTGATACTGTCACTGTTTAGGTCTCATTTTTGCAGCCATTTCTAAGAGACAGTCTCACAGCAGACATCCTTGTTTTCTGCCTCACCCTGTCTTTGAGCTCCCTTCTGTGATGTTCCTTGAGCCAGAGAGTAGGTGTTGTGCTGGAGATATAGCCACTGATCCCTGATTGAGTCCAGCTGTGATTTTCTGTCAGTTTCTACTTTCGATACAGAGAGACTACTTTGGTGAGAGGTAGCTACACTGGTCTGTGAGTGCAAGGCTAAGATTTTATGTAGTTAAGGAATTACACTGGTCTGTGAGTGCAAGGCTAAGATTTTATGTAGTTAAGGAATTACACTGGTCTGTGAGTGCAAGGCTAAGATTTTATGTAGTTAAGGAATTACACTGGTCTGTGAGTGCAAGGCTAAGATTTTATGTAGTTAAGGAATTACACTGGTCTGTGAGTGCAAGGCTAAGATTTTATGTAGTTAAGGAATTACACTGGTCTGTGAGTGCAAGGCTAAGATTTTATGTAGTTAAGGAATTACACTGGTCTAGTAGATTTCTCTTCTAAAAGGATCCATGACCTCATAGCCCCAGGTAGTTGGCTAGGTTTCTAGTACCAGGCATGAGTTCCCTCCTGTTGAGTGAGCCTTAAGTTCAATTAGACAATGGTTAGTTATCATCAACATGTGAATGCCATATGTGTAAAGATGGCAAGATACCTTTACAGATATCTTGCCATTCTGTCATTATTGTGTGTCATAGTTGTCACAGTTATTTTCCTCTCTTGGCAGCTCATAAAGTACTCTCTGGTACTATGGAAACTAGACTTTAGGAAAGAAGCTTTCAGATTAAGTTCAGCTCAAAAATTACAATTCTTTTGTCCTAAGTCTGCAGTGCCACCCACCTTTCAACCTCAGAGAGGCACTCAAGGGCACAGCAATAATGTGTATTCTTAAGGAGCTATTTGGACTTGTGTGTGTGTGTGTGTGTGTGTGTGTGTGTGTGTGTGTGTGTCTGTCTGTCTGTCTGTCTGTCTGTCTGTCTTTGTTTGGCAAAAACTCATGCTGCTGAGCTTAACAAAATCTAAAGGAGAAGAAGAGCTCAGGCTTCCTTTTTCCTAGGAATCTTTGTCCAGGGTGAAGTGGTACCAAGTAATCACTGCTTGATAAAATGTTCATTTTTCTGTGTGTTGTGGTAGACAACTGTAATTCCAGCACTCAAAAGGCTGAAGCAAGAGCGTGGAAAGTTCCAGTCCAGTCTAGGATACATATGAGACCATAAAAATAATAAACTTAACTTATGGTATCCATTAATGTGAATATTATAGATTATATGTGGTTATTATAATAATTATTTTATCAGGAACCTCTTAAAAGCAGAATGAAGAATCATTGTATAGCAGGCCTTTAATGTTTACTTACTTTATCTAAGAGCATTTGAAGATCTTTTACTAAAGGCCATGGACTCTGCCAGTATGATTCTGTGTGTGGAACTCCTTAATCCCTGTTTATATTCTGTGTCTCTAGCCCATTCTAATGTAGCACAGGTTTTTCTTAACCTGATTATCTTTGCCCACTGGAAGCACCAGGGGGTTGAGAGCTTACTCTTTAATGGAATTTGTGTGAAATTAAATTGTACAAGCATCTGTGAGCATTACATAATTCAGTAGAGGGACTGAACTCTTCTGCTTCTTAAGGTGGTGCAGATGGCAAGGGCGGGGCGGCTGTGGGCAGCACAGCTGAGCACTAAGCAGATACCTGTGCAGGAGGTACAGATACATACTTCCTCATGCAACCTGTGCTCCGTGGGGAGAGGCTCATGTTCAGTGCCTCTCAGTTGCTCTCATCCCTCGTCCCTACTAAGTACTGTCCTGTATCTCTGAAGTTGATAAGAGAGTGTAGGTTGGGTAGTGTCCTCTGTCACCCACCCTGGTAGCTACAAACCAGACCACCAAAGTTCAGAGACCTGTGCACAGCGGGTTCCTTTATAATCAAGGGAGAGTCTTAAGAATTCTGGCTGCTTTGGTTTGCTGTTGTTTTATGTGCATGTGTGAGTTCACCATTCTGCCTTGATCTTTATCTTACTGTTTTAAGGATTAAAGTAAGTTGCTTGAACTTAGGAATGGGAAAGTTTCAGGCTTTAAATATCATAGCAAATACTATAATGTGTTTGACAACCTTGAAATAGTGAAGCATTTTGCATTGCTGAGACAAAAAAGTGATTTGTATTCATGGGTACAATGTAGAGAAAGAATCAAATCGCTGTTCTTGTCTTACCTCATAAAACATGCCAGTAATTCCTGTGTGGACCCCTTCATTCTGTTTGCCCTCATTACATGACACCCTGTTTTAAAGGTACACTCCCAACCAAGTGGGCACAACCCAAGTTCTGCTCCACCGAGAAGAAGCCAGGCTTCAACCCCTAAAGTTAAAAAAAGCGTCAGCAGCAGAATCCACGAAGCAGTGAAAGCCATCGCTCTTTGTCACAACGTTACTCCTGTGTACGAGGCTCGGGCTGGAGTCACCGGAGAGACTGAGTTTGCTGAAGCAGACCAAGACTTCAGTGATGAGAACCGCACCTACCAGGCATCCAGCCCTGATGAGGTCAGTAGTTTCCTTTGAGCATCTTTTTGGGGAGGGTGTCCTTCACCAGGCAAGCCTGTGTGGATTGTTTCATCTGGACTCCATAGGCTTGCAGACGGCTTCTCTGGAGCAAGGATACACGACTGTGTCCTGGATTGTGACATGAACTGTAGCTGAAGTACATGCAACCCTCTGGGGTTAATTCAGACCTTCCAGGGCTCACCTTTGACCCTAATATGTCAATACCTGAGTTAGTCCTTTCCATCCTGGACAGTCATGACTTGACCTCTGAAATTCAGGCTGTTTCCGGCTGGATTTGCTTATGGTATTAAGGGAAGATCCCTAGAGATCCTGGACTTTTAACTTTATACCATTACACTCAACAGCTTTCACTAGAAATAGCATGAGAACATTAAGCTGGCTCTATCACAAGTTAGTTCCCAAAATAAACATATCACTGTTGCTGTACTTCATTGTCCACTTTGCCTCATGTTGCAAAGTCACTGGATTTGTATATTAAATTTCTAGTTGTTCTGTAAAATTCAGATACATTTATTCTTTAAAAAGATTTAGAATTTAAATAATTGAGAAACCTACAGAAATGATTTAAAAAACCTAAGTGTATTAACTTAGTCATTTCTAACTTTACTCCATTGAGATTTGGTAAAATCCATTATTAAAATTTCTACTTCTTATGCAGTCATTCTGAGTGTGTTTATAGAGTTTTAATAGTCTGTCCTCTTGGTGTTCTTTAGGCAGTTGTGTAAAATAATCAGACCACCTATGGAAACTGTTAACAAAGTAGATCTTTCAAATACCTGCAAAATTGGATCATATAAGTACATAATCAATATGTCTCTAGGAAATCTGCTAAACCCTGGTTCTGGAAACAATAGAAAGATAGGCATAGAAGCCCCAATGTTATTGATGAGCAGGGAACAGACCATGAAGAGTGGGGCAGGGTGGGGCATCAAGAAAACAGTAAGAACAAAGAGAGAGGTTAAGGAAGTGTGGTTCTCTGGCTGCACACTTCGCCCAGAGTACAGGTCCCCACCCTGGCGGGTTATTAAGTGGTGAGCACATGAAGCCGCTGGGACCTTCTCTTTGCTAGAAACTTGCCTGATCAGCCTGATGCCTGCAGCTTCATCTCACAGATCCCCAAATATACTCTGTTTTGATCTGTCCACCCTATCCAAATATGTTCCTAGACTCATAAGCATTTAGTAACAGTGGACATGACTGCATTGTGTGTTACCCCTGTGGACTGAAGCAACAGTACTTCCACTTTTGTCTAGATCTCGTTATATTCCTCTGAGGATTTTCAGTATCCTTATTACTGTTATAATTCACCTGAGGTAGTTTATCCCTAAACGCTGAGCAAAGCTAAGTTCAGGCAGTTGTAGTTAACTCTGTGCCCCTTTAGTACTAATCTACTTCACTGGTCATCAGTTGTTGTGTCCTAGGACAATTCTGAGTGTATTACTGGCTCTGCTTGGTTCTCCAGTTGAGTCTTCTGTGTGAGCCTCTCTCCCCACTCAGAGCAACAGTGTTCTAGTTTGAATGTGACATGTTTCCCACAAGTACTTGGGTTGGACTCTTGGTCCATAGCTGTTGATGATAGTTTGATACAGCTGAAGAAAAAGTAGGCCACTGGAGTGAGTCCTTTGGGATATCTTCTCCCTGTCCCTTTCCTGTCTACCATGAGGTAAAGAAGATCCTCCAGGACATGGTTCCACTGTCATTTTCTGCCCAAGCTCATGAAACCAAGCAGCCCATGGACTGAACCCTCTGAACCCCTGAGATGAAGTAAACCCTGGATTCTAAGTTGTCCATCATGTTTTGAAGTTGTTATTGTCAGTACAGCTGCACTAACAGAAAAGTGGTGCTGAAGTAGTGTCATGTGGTTCTTAACCCTTTGAGAGTAGTTTAAGGAGGGATCTGAGCTAGCCTGGCCCACACAGCGAGTATATATAATTTTATTCTGTATTGATAGGGGTTCATACCTAAGATTATCTTGAGTATCGCTGGAGTTTCTGAAGTTGGACTTTTGAAAAATCTTGGAACTATTAAGATTTTGTGAACGCTGTGATATGGACTAAATGGACATATGAGATAGTCATGAGCCTTTGGGGTCAGGGGAAGAATGTTATGGTTTGAATTTAAAATGTCCCCAATAGTGCCTGTTCCCAGCTGCTCATGTTTTTGACATGTTGTGGGAACTAGGTTGCTGTTGAGTAGCTTGTCCCTCTCCTTGCAGCCCTCCACTCCTCTCCTGCCCCACCATGAAGTGAACCTACCCCACTCTCCCACCACCAGGATGTCCATGCCAAGCTCATGAGATCAAACACCCATGGAATAAACCTTCTGAAACTGTGAGACAAAGCAAATCTTTGATCTAAGTTGTTTCTCTTACATATTTTGGCCACAGATACACAAAAGTAGCTGACACAGTTGGCCATGTCTGTAAATGACCAGTATGGTGACCTTATGGACTCAAGGCCAGATGAGAAACAATCACTGGGCCTGGTGGAGGAAGGGAAGAAACTGTATGATGTCTAAAAGTGGGCTTGTAGGGACAACTGGGCTGAAGACCCTTAAAGATCTAGTAGGCTCTTATTCCTATAGACTGGCAAGGCTGCATTCAGCATTCAAATATTTGCCTATTGGTACATAATAAAACTACAGAAAGAAATTTAAGATTCTTCCTGGAAGTCATACTACATCTCTGATTTAGAAAACACTGAGGTATCTGGGACAGTGGTACACACTTGTTTTTAATCCAGCACTCAAGGACAGTGGCAGGGAGATCTCGGAGTCTGGGGCTATCCTGGTCTATATAGCAAGTTCCAGCCAGAGCTGTAAAATGAAACCTCGCCTCCCCCCATAAAAACTACTTGCATAGTCTGGTGAAAATCAGGATTAGTTGAGCTGTTGGTGATATTCAAGAAGGTCCAGAATAGAATCAATGTTGGTAGAAATGAAGAAGCTAGGGAAATCCGCTCCATCCTTTGAGTACCTGGCCCTGCAGTATGCACTCCCTTAGTCAATATCCCTTCACCATAGCCACACTGTGTCTCATAGATTCTATCGGCCAACATTTAACTGGGTATCTTTTGAAAGCAATGCAGTGTGTCAAAATAGAGAGAGAGAGAAAAAGAGAGAGAGAGAGAGAGAGAGAGAGAGAGAGAGAGTGAGTGTGTGTGTGTGTGTGTGTGTGTGTGTGTGTGTGTTGTCAGGGAGTCTCAGAAGCACAGTTTAACAGTCCTAAGCCATTTGGAAATCTCAGGGTCTCAGGGTGACATGGTATGTAGTAAGATATATAATGACTTATAAATTACTGTCCTCTTAGCCCTCAAGAAGGTTTTTTTTTTTAGTTTTTTTTTTGTAATTTATTCTTTTAAATTTCATTTTACATTACAATCACAGTTCTCCTTCCCACTTCTCCTCCTGCCCCCCTCACCTAACCCTTAGCTCACCCCAAGTTCACTCCTCCTCATGGGTAAGAGTTCCCATGAGGAGTCAAGAAAGTCTGGTCCAATAGGTTGGTGCAGGATCCAACCCCTTTCCCATGGCATCCCACCATAGGGAGTGGGCTCCAACAAGCTAGTTCAAGTACCAGGTCTCAAAAAGTTATTGAGACAGAAACAGGACACACAACTGCTTTCTGAAAGGGGAAAAGACTATCGTTCTTTTTCTCAGAAAGGGTTCATGCTGCTTTTGCTATTGTAGCATTCCAGAGCTCTCCTCAACTCCATATGATCACGTGATGAGAAGGAATTTCCTGTTCATAAATATTGGAAGGCTAGACCAAAGGTTTTCGAAAGCAATTCTTATTTGAAGTTCAAAAATAAACTATTTTACATATTCACTTTATTGTCTACCAAAAGAAATGTTGACATACATAGAAATCTTTAAAATATTAGGAATTCACTGCCAAAAGACATTTCCTTGATTTGAAGACTTGAAAGTCTTAGAGAAATTATAACAAAGAAACTACTAACCTTATATTTAACTTTTTTGACTTGTATGGAAATTTGACAGCAGAACGTTAAGTAATGTGTAAAAAGATATGTAACACATATTTTAACCCTGAAAATGAAAACAATGAGGTTCATCATGATTTTTAAAGTGTAATATTGATGTGGTATGTGCAGATCCCAGAGCCTCAGGAAGGGGGACCAATAGCCTGTTGTTTGGCATATTGAACTTTGCTGCCGTTAGCGTGACAGATGATAGCAATGTTTCCCAGTCACCACAGCACCATTTTAAAAGCATTTCTTATTGGATAAAGTGCTCAGAATATTGCACCCCGGAGCTTTACTTAGGGCAATGGTTCAATTGATGCTTTCTGTTTAAGCCCAGTGTTGACCTGTCACAACATTCATGTTAATAAGCAGTGTTATCATTTAGGAGGCTGGTTTTATACAGTCCTATAATCCTATATATTCATGGCTCTAACAGTTATGTCTACATAACTTATGAGACAGAAGCTCCTATATTTTATGCATCCCCATCAGTTCATGGAACTGTCTCATCTTATTCTTAGGACAAATGTGGTTTGTTGACTGCCCCCATTTTGGGTTTAAGCCATTTGCTCTTCTTTGTAGTATAAGCTGCCTTGGTTTTCATTTTCCTGAATGAAGGAGAGGGGATCTTTTCTGTACCAGCATTTTTACATAGATGAGCTTTTAATCCACAAATAGTAGACTTTTTGGAGGGCTCATTTTGAATTCATAAAGGTCCTGTTAGACACAGATAGTAAGTACTTGCTGTGATATGTCATCAGCTGTATGCTTATGTGTACTCAAAGGTCTATAAGTGATAGTGATGTCAGAGAATAAACAACTGACTTGTATGTGTGAGTTAGGATCTGTTTATACCTTGGTGTCACTGATTCGTATGATAAGTGGCTGTCATTTGTGTCTACATGCTCATCATAGCAAACCAAGGCTGAACAAATGTTAAATATGTCATAGAAATTCCTTCACAGAATGAAAATCCAGCCTTTCCATTGTTTAACT